TCCCAGTTAACTTCCAATGTTGCACTTTGGAAGAAACTGCCATTTATAACAGCTGTATAGTAAATGTATAAATACTATACATTGGGCTAAGTTGCAACGAAGCAACAGAAATAGCCAAAGATACTATTGTCTCTATTGAAAATTGATGTTTGGATTAAGGCTGAAAGCATGGTTAACAGTAGCCCTGCAATGTTATTTCAGTGTTGTATAATGGGCCAAGAAAGTATAGAATTGTTGTATTGTGTAGTTCACTAGCATACCATATAACACCTATTGACAAAACCAATGTCCTCTACATAGTTTCATTTGTTCACTTAATGCCTCCTGAACAATTTCATTTGTTCACTTAGGGCCTGCAGATACGTCTGTCATTCATCCCATTGGAAATAATAGAGGTGTCCGCAGTTTCACATATCCCTGTTAACTCCCCAATCATTATTAAGGTCATACTTAATCTTATTGTGACTTGGCTCATTTTGAGAGACATGGGTTCTTGCTGTCTTTTAATCTATAATTGTTCTGAAACATAGTGATGTGTTTGTGTTTTGTTTAAATATTTGTATGTATGTTCTTCATTTGCAATGAAGTGCAGTTCAGTGTTCAAACAGATTGGTAATAAAATACCTTGTAGTAATCCTGCAATGTAGTGTGTTACTATTTTTGTTCAATGTGGGCTTGGTTTGGATTTCCAGTCAAAACATTGCAGTAGCTTGTTACTTCATGCAGTGTTAGGATACAAATCCTGTTCAATCAGATTTTAGACTTTTATTGTAATGAAAAATTAAGCTGTGGAAAGATCCCAGATTTTATCTCATTGCCTGAAATAGGGCAGTGTGTTTGTCAATTGACCATGCTCCACAGGTTATTTCATGCTTCATTTTTTTTAAAAGGGGGTTCTTAAGTATTAATTACTTAAACTGCAACAGAAAATATCGGCACATGTTCTAACAACATATGAGTTTAGTTGAGTTTAAACCTTATTATGCATTTGAAGTGTGATATTCTTCCAATTATGATTACTTTTCAAGCATGGTGAATAGTCAACATTTGCTACATAAACTCTTAAAATCATTTGGCTATTATAAAATATTTTCCTCTGTAGACTTTCCAGTCAATTTTCTCTAATTTTAGGTTGAAAGGTATAATTTATAACAGGGGTCCTCTGACTTTTTAAACAGAGGGCCAGGTCACAGTCCCTCAAACTGTTGGAGGGCCAGATTAATTAAAAAAAAAACAAAACATGAATGAATTCCTATGCACACTGCACATATCTTATTTGTAGTTCAAAAAACACTTTAAAACAATACAATAATTAAAATGAAGAACAATTTAGGTTGACCCTGAGCGAGGGCTGGGTAAATGACCTTGGAGAGCCATATCCAGCCCCCGAGCCATAGTTTGAGGACCCCTGATTTATAATTTCCTGCTGTAATTTGATAGCAAAATGAAAAACATCTATTTGTGCTTATAGCCAGTTAATGTGTTTGGAATGAGAACTGTTAGTTATATTTTTATATTATGTGTCTTGGACTGGTTTCCTCAGTTAACACTTTCTCAGCTATGATTTCCTGATACAATTTAAAATAGACTATTAATGCTGTTGTTGGCAAGGTCAATGAAGGAAATTGACATGAAGAAATAAAGAGGGGGGGGGTCTAGACGGACGTAAAGAGAAGGACAGAAAATGTGAAGGACAATTGCCAGAAGGAATTTTAACAGTTGAACAACTGCTGAAATTGTGAATTTCACCTTGACTTGAATTTTTCAGGTATAGGTGTCTAGTTTAAAAATTACCCACAGAGCATGCTTGTATCTGAAACCTACACATATCTACAAAAAATGAATCCCGTTCAACTTACTGAAGTCCTTTTCCCATAAGTGCACACGGAATTTCATCCTTAGTCTTTCAATCAAGTATGGGCAGTCTGCTAATGGATTCTAACTGTCCTCATTCCTAACCATTGACCTTACTAGCTGGAATTAATGGGGGTTGATTCCAAGAATGTCTGTAGGGCCAGAGGTTCCTTGCTGCCTGTTCTGAAGGGATATCTGTAAGGAACTCTAGCTTTTGGACAGACTCCTGGGGACTTTGTGGTGTTGCTATAGAAACCTAATGTGTAAATGTAACATATGTATATTTACATATTATCATTCATATCAAAACACATTGACTATGGGTTCACACTGTTGGAGCTAAAGAGACCTGGATCTGATTAGTTCTTAGGTGAGAGACTTCCTGGAAACCCCACAATTGCTGCTCTGAGTTCTGTAATGGAAGAAAAGTGGATTACAAGTGAGATAGCCATGTGCAAATGTAATTGACAATTATTGGAGCTCTAGGTGTTTTAAACAAGGTACATTCTGCCTTATTATGATAATAGAATTGGTATATGCTGTATCTTTTTGATTTGATTTACTATGGCATAGTGTATTCAAACCTAAACTGGATATATTAAATTTCAAAACCAATTTTAAAGTATTATATTTGGCATGCAATTCAAAAAAGGTTTAATTCTTTTTTGCTTGGTTAAATTGGATACATTTTAATATTATGTTTAACTATATGGCATGCTGGATTTTAGTTATTTAAGAATATTCATCGTGTTTAATGAACTTTGTTTCCAGTATAGCTCTTGTACTGGTCATATTTCAAGTATAAGACCACAGCAGCAATTCCTGTTTAGCAGAATATCTTTATCTTGTTAAGTTGTGTAAGTCTTACTGGATTTTAAGAGCCCTATTCAGATAATGTTAAGCTTTTAAATCCTAGTGATATTGCTAAGAAAGTTGTGCTTAACTTTTAAAGGACAGTATTTTGAACTTTAAAAAAGTTTGAGTAGTATTGCCATATTGTATGCCTTTTCATGGGAAGTGAAGTGAGCAGAGTCTCAAAGCTTGTTCTTTAGGCAAGTTTCAGATCCCATTATTCCAATATTTGAACATTTCCATTATATTTGGTTTCCAGAACCAGTCTGGGGTGTGGAGTCTAGAAAAATCCTAAATGGCTGCTTTTTATACTTGCAAACTTTTTTTTACTGTGTATTTGCATATCAGTGTGTTTCAAGAAGGTACAGAAATTTAACAAAAAATCAAAATCATTTGCTTTAGATTTAGTTATGTATCAATTCAGTTACACCGATTATTTAGATAGTTCTGTCATTCTGTCTTAATTCATTTCGTTTTAAAATAACAATTAGTTACTTCATTGTCACATGTTTACTTCATGAATAAAATAATACTACATACAAACTTGATCTTAGCCAAAAGGTCGAGAAGCAGTTCATAATTTTTTTAAAGACCTTTGTAAGGCTAGACCCTATTAACCAGATCTTCCATAAATTAAAAGTAAATCATTTTCTAGCCTAATATCTAAATAAGTACATGCAAAATGCTTTCTCAATGTGTACTTACTTCATTTTATTCATGAAGTACACATTGAGAATCCTTCTTCCATATGCTTATTTAGATATTCGGGTAGAAAATGGTTTACTTTTAATCCATTCAAGACCTGATTAATAGGGTCTATCCCTACAAAACTCTTTTAAAAACCTGTTGATTGCAAATTACAATATAGAGTTTATTTGGGTTATATAGTGGTCGTTTTGTATCACCTTTCACTTGTAAACTCTTTAAAAAAGATACCATTATTTATTTAAAAAATATATGTCTTGCCCTCTTACTTATTGAAAGCACTTCAACCCCCGTGGCAAAACTTTTAGAGTCATTTGCTATCAGAACTATCAAAATGTCACTGTTCACCATTATATTCTTAAGGCATTTTCTTTTCTTTTCTTTTCTTGAATGTTTACCATCTAGCAGATGGTACAGGATGATAAAAACAAGGACAAACAAACTGAGAGATAGCTTTTATTCTAGAGCAGTAACTGTATTAAACTCCATGGTTTCATATTGATGTGGCATTGAGTGCTGTGCAGTGGTGGTTGGAGCATGGAGGGATAGGTGTGTTGTTTTTGTGATGTGTGCTGGGGACAGGATTTATTTATTATTATTATTTATTTCGAGCATTTATACCCCGTCCTTATCCCCGAAGGGGGACTCAGGCCAGCTTACAACCTTTAGATGCCAAACAATATATTAAAAGACACAGTTACAATTAAAACAGCAGTTAAAAACAATTATAAAAATTCAATTTAAAACAGTCCACCTGTTAAAAAAAGCATTTAATTTCATTGTACAGTGACAATAAAGTCATTATATTCTGTTTGAAGGGAGAGCTGTTTATTTGGGGAGGTGCAACTCTTTATCAACTGACAGAACAGTGGAAGAAGGGTGAACTTTTAAAGCCAAGGAAAGGAGGGGGAAAGTAGCTGTATTATTGAACAAGTGGGCCATCTTCAGACTAGCTGCTGAGAAAATCCATTATGAAGAAATTGTTGACTGGAAGAGCTGTCCTGCAATAGTCTCAGGGATGATGCACTCTTTTTTGTGGATCTTTAAACAGAGGTTAGACTGACATCTTTTTGTTGTGTATCTCTGCATGGCAGAGGATTGGACTTGATGTGCCTTGTGTGGTCCCTTCCAACTCTTAAGATTCTAGGATTCAGCCCTCCCTCCCTTACATGAAAAGTCTTCAATATTCGTGACAGGATCTTAGTTATGGTAGACCTTAGAATAATCAATTGATACTGTGTAATTTTGAACATTGTGATGGCACAAGCTCTGGTCTTCAGCATTAGTTTTTAAATATTTACTAGTTCCTGTGTTTTGACTTAAACCTACTATATTATGTACACTAGAGAGCTTCGTGGAACTAAACTAAATATGCATAAGGTATCAAGCTGTAAATTAACATACACTAAGCCAAAACACTCTTCATCTTGTAAAATTGTTCGACTAGAAATGATAGGTTTCTGATTATGGGAATGGATGGCTAATTGTTAAAATTGGGGCTTGATACTTGATTTCCAGAGTCAAAATACATAACTCACTTGTCTGGATTTTTTTAAAAAAAATTATTGCCGAATCTTGCTTTTTTTCAGACTGAGACAACTGTTGGCCTCAGTTCGTATCAACAAAAAAGGTAAGATATTTTCTATAATATATGGTATTTCTTTCCTGCTTTAAACTTTAAGATGTTTTGATATTTTATTCTGTGACATCTCTATGGACGATAGCAAATGATTTGTTTCTGTAAAGAGGTGTTCTTGTATTCTCATATATATCTTAGATATAGAGGAGGGTTCTACTAAAATAAGAGAGGTGATTTCACACACATGTTCAAATGTCCATGTTATTCCCAAGATTCCCAGTCACTTAAATGGAAAGAGAGATATCTGCAAAAATTATGTGCCCCCTCCCTTTTCTGTTAGTACATCTATTCTTCTCATTTAGTAAATCTCTTAACACAAAATATGTTTTTATTTTATGTATTTTTATAAAACACTTTCAGCTTAATCTAAGTCAGTGTTTGTTTTCCATTTTTTAAATGTATCTATTTTTACATACAGTTGTCCAGGACTTCTGTAAATAGTCATAAATATGCTTGCAGCTTCTTATAATTTTCCTTGAAATAACCATAACAATCCAGTTGTTGGTGACATTTTTTTTAAAGAAATGAGCATTTTACTTCTTTCTACAGATTGTCATATCTAATATTTATGGGTTTGACTAATATGTATGCTTCTTAAATTTTAGACTGGGGTTGATACATGCCATTTTAAATGACCACGTTGGGCTCCCAGCAATATTTGGAGCAGTGATTTGGGTTTCTGTGGCTTTCTGTATTATAGGACTTTCAGTAATTGTAAGCCATTGTGCAAATGTAGTTAAAGGAAATCAGACATTCTTAGTATATATGATTTATTTAGAAGTTATTTGGTCTATGAAGCCTTCTATAAGGATTGTAAAAGAGGTTGTTATGAGCAGTTATCAGTCCTCTGGTTTGTACTAGGGGTGTGCGATTTGTCAAAAACCCATCCAATTTTCAGTCCCGTTTCCACCCCCCCCCCCCAAATTCTTTTTACTGGAAAATTCCCAAAATCGGCAGTGGGGAAATACTTTTTCACGATCCGTCCACCAGAAGGTCTGTTTTTGCTCCAGTAGGTGTGGTCCTTTTGCCACAATGAGGGAAATGGTGAGACTTCTTTTTCCGTTATTTTTAAAGCTGTTGGGACAAATATGGGCACACTTAGAGCACACATTTACAACTAAAAGCCCCCCAAGTTTCAGAACATTTGTCATCCACTAATTCTTAGGAAATTTATAAAGATTATATAAATAAAATGTCTTTTTGAAAGCAGCAGTACACCCCCCCCCCCCAAAAAAGATGTTCTTTGAATTTTGGTGGGCGTAGGAGGGTCACATTCATCGGTATTGCCTATCCTTCTCACACTCCCACGGGCTTGCACTACCCTCAAAGCCTGTAAACTTGACCCAGCAGAACCACCTATATAATGGCCACACCTCATTATAATTGTGTGTATGTGTGTGGGGGTATATGCTGTGTAAGTGTGTGTGTATGCTCTGCAATACTTTTTTGCAAGCAGACACAAACAAGAAAAATAGGGAAAAGAGTAACAAAGGAGTTTTTTTAGTATTTAAAAAAACTGAGGAAAAATTGGCTCAAGCCCTTACACTCACACAAAAGCCATAAGAAAAATAGAAGAGAGTCAAAGAGATGAACTAACAAGAAGAAAGCGCTTTTTAAATATTTGGCGAGGTGGGGAGGGGAAGATAACTGGACTGGTGCAGGAGCTTTTTATTTTGGGGGGGGGGGGGACTTAGGCTGCTGATGCAGGACAGAGTACAGAAGCCAGACAGTAGAGCTGGGGAAATTCTCCCCGTAAGGACTCAAGGGAGTCAGGCTATTCCCTAAACCTATCCCACACTCAGTCAACTGAATCCAAAAAAATCAAGGATGGAAAATGAGGATGAAAGTGTCTGGGATGTCCGCTTTTTATAGAGGCGGTGTGTTCTTTTTCCCACACTAGGACACTTTGAGAAAAATCTCAGCTAGTGCTGGATGTGTGACTAGCTCCTTTTCACCAAAGGTAGAAGTGCGCAGCTGGCAGCAAAAAGTTTCTGGTCTTGAGTATTTCAGAGTTCTGATAAAGGATATTAACTCAAGCTATATTCTGAAATCAAGAAAAAAAATATTCTGCATGTTATCCATGCAGCAAAATACAACAAAATATTACTTGTGGATTTTTGAATTTGCTGCATGACCAACAGCTAATCTGAATATACCGGTATTTGTTATCTCTCATGCAGTATGTTTCATGATTCTTTATTCATGATGTGATAAAAATCAAGCTAGTTAATCGTTGCTTATGTCCACTAAAGTCACACAAATTTCTGACTGAGGCCCCATCTACACTGCCATATAAAATCCAGATTATTTGCTTTGAACTAGATTATTTGAAACACAACAAGATTAGTACACAGCAAAGAAGATCACTATGCTGGCTGTTGTATTGGATCATACGCCTGACACTTCCCAAGTGACTAGGACTGTGTGATGTATCAGCGAATAATGCGTGCCGATCCCAGTGGGGTGGCCTTTTGCAGCTGACAGATGGTAATTTCGCCAGCACCAATTGTGTTTAAGTGCAGGCCAAGGTCTTTAGGCACTGCACCCAGTTTGCTGATCACCACTGGGACCACCTTTACTGGCTTGTGCCAGAGTCTTTGCAGTTCAATCTTTAAATCCTATTATTATTATTATTATTATTATTATTATTATTATTATTAAGCTGCTAGGTAGACAGGGAGCTCTGATGTGGGCTGGTCCATGAGGTCACAAAGAGTCCGAAGCGACTGAACGAATGAACAAGGTAGACTGCTTTTTCTCACTGCCCGTAGATATTAAATTAACTTCTAAACACTCAGCTACACAAATATATATGCTACAGGGTCCTATCTTACCAACAGCCCGGGCCACTCACTCCAGTTTTTAAACCCACTTCCCTTTGACCCACCCCCTTGCCCCACTCCATCCCTGTCCTAGTAATAGTGCCGAGCCTTCCCCACCTTTCCACAATGAAGCTTTATCCATATTTTAAACCCCCTTTGTTCACATCTTCCTTCCAAACCTTCTCATCATGAAGTAGGGCAGGAAGGGTTTTAAAATCAAAATGAACCTTCATAGTGGGAAGGTGGAGAAGGGAGAATCAACGGAAGGAGTTTAAAATCCATATGAGACTTTGTAGTATAAGGAGGGAAATGGAAGCAAAGTAAGGAGTTTAAAATCTGGATGAGGCTTCATTGTAGAAAGAAGAAGGAGTGAAGTGCTGGCTCTATTGGCAGGTCAGTGGTGATCAGGCAAAAAGGCAGCAGAAGGAATGAAGCAAGGAGATTGAGATAATTAAGCAGCAGCTACAAACTTTCAAGAGATCTAATCAGCAAAAAAAAAAGAACCACAAATGCGGTGGGATGACGAAATTGGATGATTTTAGCTATTTTTAGTTTGTTGTTTATATCTTAAAACAAGAATTATAAACAAACCTTTTGTAAATTGATTGTGCAGATTATTGGTGTAAGAACCACATGTTAGGTAATTTGGATGACATGCAAAGCTGTTGATGTTGCCTTTTGTGAACACCTAACACTTTAGATCTGGAACAGTCATTCTGACCTGTGGGTGCGCAGGTATTTTACTCTACAACTCCCAGAAATCCCTGACAGTTTACCAGCTGTTAGGATTTCTGGGAGTTGGAAGGCCAAAACATCTGGGGACCCACATATTCTAGATTCACTGATCTAGAATATGGTGACTTCAGGATGACTTGGTCCAATCCACTTACAATAAAGCATCTTTTCTGACAGCCAGTTCAAATTAGAAAGTACCCTATGGTGTTTAATAAGCAGCAGAACCAGCTGTGATATTATTGTTTTCTGTGGAAGAGACTGTTGATTCATACTCAGTAGATTCAGTTAACTGTTAGAAGAAGCAGAAGGAAAACATGTGAACACTCCGTGGCTTGGCATAGTGTAGTAGTTCTGCGTGTATAACTTTGGTATGCCAAGACATTTACTGATGTCCCTCCAAGTCTACCATAGAGCCGCTAAATCACCCTTCTCTCCATGGGCATTGTTTCATGGAAAAGGTGGTGAGACAGATGAAAAGTGATTACATCAGCTGATGAAGTTCACCAGAGTTGAGTGGCTATTGCAATCATTTTGTATCTGGGTAGGGAATACATTGTGGATAAGGGACTTTCATGGATCTACCAGGAGAGGGAAACTGGCTGCAGGGGCCCACATCCTTGGAGAAAGGTACTCATTTAGTTCAGAACAGTGAGATATATGTAAGAAAAAAAAAAACCCTTAAGTGGTTTCTAGAAGGTTTTAAACATTTTTGTTTACTTGTTCGAGGCACTATCTTTTTATGAAGTTTTAGCTATTATTTTAGTTGCTTTTGTTTAGTGTTAAATTTATATTAACTGTTATATTCACATATATGATTTAAGCTCCTACTTGTCAGTTCCTTTATCTGTTATGAAGTTTAGAGTTAGGTTGTTTTTAAATTTTTAATATGATTTGTCCTGATGTAATTTGTTTGAATGTTTTTCCCTTTTGGCATTGAATGTTTGCCATACATGTTGGAAACCGCCCTGAGTCCCCTCGGGGAGATAGGACAGTCTACAAATAAATTATTATTATTATTATTATTATTATTATTATTATTATTATTATTATTATTATTACCTGACAAAGCTGAACTTTTTGTTCTTTTTTGAAGTGTAGGAAACTATGTCTCTTCTTTCCAAGTTATTTTTTTTTCTTTTCATACCAAATTTTCTATTAAAGAAGTAATTGTAGTCTGGGTTGATTTCTATTGTGTATTAATGTATAATATACATTACTATATTACTCGTTACAGTTTTTAGTGTATAACTTACACAGTACTAGTTCTTGTGTACCTTCAAGTCATTGCTAACATTACTCTTAAGGTGAACTTTTCATAGGGTTTTTGGAAAGATTTGTTCAGAAAGGATTTCCTAATTCCTTCCTCTGAAGCTGAGTGTGACTTGCCCAAGAGAGTTTCCATAGCTGAGTAGCAGTTTGATCCTTAATCTCCAG